AGCAGTTATTGCATGAGGACATGGTATGCCTTTCAACATCCATGCTCTACAACTACATATTTGCCTTTGAATATCAACTACATGTCTGTATAGTCCATGAAGTACCTCATATCCTGTATCTGAATTCCATTCAATGCTGCATTTCATAGACTTAGTTGTGTTATCTTGTAGAACCTTCATTGCCATTGGAGAAATGTCGCATATCCAAGTATTGCAAAACTCTCTCATCTGCCTTATTCTTTTCATCATTTTCATCCTAATTTCTTCAAGCATTGTAATTATAGTCTTATGCCTTGCTGCTAATATCCATGAATTGAAACATTCAGCCATGTTATTGTCTACAACATCACATTTTGAGGTAAAATTGAAGTAAAGCTTGCTCCATCTTTCAGGTTTATAATACAACAAGTGATTAACTATATTATTGCCCAACCTTTTCATATAACTAATGTTATCTTTTAACTCAGCCTCAAAAGTAGACCTTGCACACCTCCAGAAACATTTCTTTCTCTCAAGACCTCTCCATCTCTTTGACCAGTTAGCAAGGATGTATCTAGCACACATTCTATGCTCAACATTTGGCAAATGATCAGTTATGGCAATTTCAAGACCCTATAAGAAAATTCAAGACATAAAACTAAGAAACTAAGACATTTATAAATAAATGGCATTCAAGACATGAAATAAATCAAAAAAATCAATAAATATTCTAACCTTTTGCATATCTGATATGATTGTGAGGTCTGTACCATCTCCCAACTGAAGATCTTCCTTTAGAAGTTTGACAAACCAAGCCCAAGTAAACTTATTTTCAACTTCAACTACTGCCCAAGCCAGTGGTAGCATTTGATTGTTCCCATCTTTACAAACAGCAACCAATAATTGACCTTTAGATACTCCCTTTAGAAAACAACCATCCAAACCAATGCACCTCCTACAACCAGCCAAGAAGGACTTCTTCATTGCATCAAAACATATGTAGAAGCCTTGAAACATTTTTCTACCTTTTTCAAATGTTTCTTCATGAAGCTTGACTACACATGTACTACCTGGATTAGTTCTTAGCAACTCATCTTTGTAGTCCAAAATCCTCCCAAACTCAAGAACATAGTCACCCATTAACTCCTGTAATACTTTGTTTCTTGCTCTCCTACACACTGTTCTTCCAACATATAAATCCAATTCTTTTTTAATAAGCCCTTGAAACTCAAAGATTCTAATGTCAGGTTGTTCCTTTATTCTTTCACTGTAGTGACTAGATAAGAACTTGCTATTACAAAGCTTGTTCCTATTAGTAGGATCACATTTGTGAACTGGATTGTATGTCTTTACAACAAAATTATCTGTCCTAGAATCAAAGCTAGCAAATAAAACCCAAGGACAACCAACTGTACACCTAACCCTTACCCTTGTTGGTTCATTAATAT